TTGGGGGTACACAATTCAATCCATAACAGACATCACACTTGGTAAAGCAGAGAGTCAGCACAAAAGAGGAAGACCATCAACAAGATGGATTGACAAAATGGCTGCAACAATGGGTTCAAACATAGCAATAATTGTGAGGATAGTGTAGGACTGGGCAGTGTTTCATTCTGTTGTACATAGGGTCACTATGAGTTGGAACCAACTCAACAGCACCTAACAACAACAACAACACTTATATGAAATGACAAGAATAGGCAAATGTACAGAGACCAAAGTTTATTAGTGGTTACCAGACATGGTAGGGAGGAGACAGGAGGAGCCATTGTTTGGGAAGTAGTGAATTTATTTATGATGATGGAAAATTTGGCATCAATTAAGGGTAATGGTTGCACAGTATGATTAATGTAATTGATATCACTAAGTTGTTCACTTGAAAAACATTGAATTGGCAAATATTATGTTATATATATTTATACAACAATAAAAATAAATAATAAATAACTGCAGAAAAAGCATGTGAAAAAAATCCAACATCCCTTTCTGATAAAAATTCTCAGCAGACTACAAATAAATGGGAGTTTCCTCAACCTGATGTCACCTATGAAAAACCTACAACTAACATCATGCTTAACAGTGAAAGGCTAAATGCAACGGTGAAAGGCTAAATGCTTTTCACCTAAAATCAGGAACAAGACAAGGATGTTCACTCACTTCTATTCAACTTGTATAGGTTCTAGCCAGTCAATAAGGCAAGAAAAGAAATTAAAGGCCTCTATAGTGGTTAAGGTTGTGTGTCAGCTTGGCTGGGCCATGATTCTCAGTGGTTGGGCAGTTACATAATAATGTAGTTTGGCAGTTATGTAATGATGTAGTCATCTTCCATGATGTGATCAGGCAATAAGTTGTTGAGGGAGTTTCCTAATGGGTGTGGTCTGCATCCAATATATATATGGATGCTCTGGCAAAGCTCACTCACTTACTTTGGATCCTGCATCTGGCTTATCATCTGATCTCCGGTTCTTGGGACTTTAGCCAGCTGCCTGTCATCTTACCTGCTGATCTTGGGATTCATCATCCTCCACAGCCTGTGAGCCAGCAGCCTGCCAACTTACCTGCCGATCTTGGGATTCATCAGCCTCCACAGCCCATGAGCTAGCGGCCTGCTGTCTGAGCTGCTGATCTTGGGTCCATCAGCCCGGGCAGCTACATGAGTCCGAAGAAGCCTCCAAACTGACACTTGATCCACGGATTTGGGACTTGCCAGCCTCTACAACCACATGAGCCATTTCTTTAAGATATCTATCTCTGTCTATGTTGTTAAGTTCCATTGAATCGGTTCCAACTCATAGCGTCTCTATGTACAACAGAACAAAATGCTGCCTGGTCCTGTGCCATCCTCACAATCACTGTTATGCTTGAGCTCATTGTTGCAGCCACTGTGTCAGTCCATCTTGTTGAGGGTCTTCCTCTTTTTCGCTAACCCTCTCTCTACTTTACCAAGCATGATATCCTTCTCCAGGGACTGGTCCCTCCTGATAACATGTCCAAAGTATGTGACATGAAGTTTCACCATCCTTGCTTCTAAGGAGCATTCTGGCTGTACTTCTTCCAAGACAGATTTATTTGTTCTTTTGGCAGTCCATGGTATATTTAATATTCTTCTCCAACACCATAATTCAAAGGCATCAATTCTTCTCTGGTCTTCCTTATTCTTTGTCCAGCTTCCGTATGCATATAAGGCAACTGAAAATTCCATGGCTTGGGCCAGGCGCATCTGCTGGTGTCTCAAAGTGACACCTTTGTGTATATATATATATACTTATATACACACACACACACACACACACACACACATTTCACTGGTTTTGCTTCTCTAGAGAACCCCACCTAAGACAGCATCCATGTGGGAGAGCAAAAAGTAAAACTGTTTGTCTTTGCAGATAACATGATCATTTATGTAGAAAATCTGATAGAATCTACAGACATGTTACTAGAAGTAATAAATGAATTTAGCAAAGTTGAAGAGTACTAAATCGATAGAAAAAATCTATACACTAGCAATAAACAATCATAAATTGAAATTAATAAAACAATGCAATGGCATCAAAAACATGAAATAGAGAGAAATCTGTTAAATGATGTATAAGACCTATACACTGAAAAACTAACACTGCCAAGAGATATTAAAGAAGACCTAAAAAAATTGAGAGACATCTTACTTATGGGCCAGAAAATTCAATCGTGTTATGATATCAATTCTCCCTAAACAGATGGGTAGGGTCAATGCAATTCCAATCAAAACCCAAGCAAGTTTTTTAGCAGAAATTGAGAAGCTGAATCTAAAATCTGTGTCAAAATGCGAAAGACCAAAAAGAGCCAAAAGTACCTTGAAAAAGAATGAATTACAACACTAACACTACCTGATTCCAAGCCCAGTGGTCAGGGTATTGCAGCACTGACATAAAGATAGACAAACCGATAAATGGAAGAGACCAGGGAGTACAGAAATAGAGCCACACATACATAGAAAACTGAATGTTGACAAAGATTCAAAGGCAGTTCAGTGGACAAAGGATAGTCTTTTCAACAAATGGTCATGGAACAACTTGATATTCACATGAAAAACAAAATAATTTTGCCATATACAAAAATTAACTCAAAATGAATCACAAACCTAAATTTAAACACTAAAACTATGTAACTTTTAAAATAAACAATGGGAGAAAATCTTTGTGACCTTGTGTTAAGCAAAGATTTCTTAAATATGACACTAAAAATGTATGATCTATAAAAGAAAAATATCAGTAAACAGGACTTCATCAAAATTTAAAACTTCTGCCTTTCCTAAGACACTGTTAGGAGATTGAGAAGACAAGCCACAGACTGTGAGAATAATCTTTGCAAAGCCTATATCTGATACAGGATTTGTATCCAGAATATATAAACAACTTTCAAAACTCAAGAAAAAGAAAACAACTCAATAATAAACGAGCAAAAGATTTGAAGGAATACTTCACCAAAGAAAATATGCCCACTACAGATAAGCAAATGAAAATATGCTCAACCTCATTATCCATTCCAAAACCAGTTGCTGCGGAATCGACCCTGACTCATGGTGACCCCATGTGTGTCAGAATAGAACTGTGTTCCATAGGGTTTTCAGTGGTAGATCTTCCTAAAGTAGACCAAAACCAAAAACCAAACCCATGGCTGTCAAGTTATTTCTCACTCATAGCGACCCTATAGGACAGAGTAGAACTGCCTCATAGGGTTTCCAAGGAGCTGCTGGTGGATTCCAACCGCAGACCATTTGGTTAGCAGCCGAGCTGTCAGCCACTGCACCACCAGGGCTGAGGTGCCTCTGGGTACACTCTAAACTCCAACTTTTCAGTTAGCAACCAAACTCATTAACTGTTTGTACCCCCAGGGACTCCTCATTAGCCGTTCCTACTACTACTACCAGTTGCCATAGAGTCCATTCTGATTCATGGCGACCCCATGTGTTGCAGAGCAGACTGCACTCCATAGGGTTTTCAAGGCTGTGACCTTTTGGAAGCAGATCACCAGGCCTTTCTTCTGAGGCACCTCTGAGTGGGTCTGAACTGCCAACGTTTTTGTTAGTAGTCGAGCCACCCAGGGACTCCTTCATTAGCCACTAGGGAATGCAAATTAAAACCAGAATGAGACACCACTACCCACTATTAGAATGGCTACAATTAAAAAATCTGGACATCCAAGTGCTGGCAAGGATATCGATGAACTAGAACTCTCTGACACTGCTGGTGGGAATGCACAATGTAACAACCACTTTGGAAAAGTTTGGTAGTTTCTTATAAAGTTATGTCTACCTTATGATCCAGCCATTCCATTGCTGGGTTTTATCCAAGAGAAAAGAAAGCATATGTCCGTACAAAGATTTGTACAGGAATGTTCCTGTTGGCTGTTGTTGTTGTTAAGTGCCGTCCAGTCAGTTCTAACTCATAGAGACCCTATGTACAACAGAATGAAACTTTCTCCAGTCTTGTGGCATCCTCACAATCCTCAGGAGCCCATTGTTGCAGCCACTGTGTCAATCCATCTCGTTGAAGGTCTTCCTCTCTTTCCCCGACCCTCTTCGTACCAAGCATGATGTCCTTCTCCAGGGACTGATAACATGTCAAAGGTACCTGAGACAAAGTTTTGCCATCCTTGCTTCTAAGGAGCATTCTGGCTGTACTTCTTCCGAGACAGATTTGTTCATTCTTCTGGAAGCCCATGGAATGTTCAATATTCTTCGCTAACACCTAGGAGAGTTATTTCTGATAAAGAAAAGTTGGAAACAACATAAATTTCTAACGACAGGTGACTAGATAAGTACATTGTGGTATATCCATACTGAAACCAAAAAAAAAAAAAAAAAAAAAACCGTTGCCGTGGAGTCGATTCCACTCACAGTGATCTTGTAGGGCAGAGCAGAATTACCCCATAGGGTTTCCAAGGCTGTAATCTTTACAGGACTGCTACATCTTTCTCCCTCAGAGCAGCTAGTACATTCCAACTGCCCACCTTTCGGTCAGTAGCTGAGAGCTTAACCACTGCGCCACCAGGACTCCTTAACGGGATACTACTTAGCACTAAAAAGGAGTGAATATTTGTTACTTACAAAAACATAAATGAATCTCAATTACGCTGAGTGAAAGCATCATACATATTTTATGATTTCATTTCTATATAACTCTAGGAAACGCAAACTAATCTATAGTGACAGAAAACAGATTAGCAGTTGACAAAGGGGAGGGAGGTGAAGGGGTCGCAGGCGAGCCGGCTGGGGGAGAGAACCGCGGGGTGAAGCCGCGTGGAGGGGAGAGGTGGGAGGGGCGGAGCGAGAGCTCTGCGCGGGCGGTAGTGGGAGCGGGGAGGCGGAGCAGGAGGCCTAGAAGCGAGGGAGGGTGAGCCGGCGCGCGGGAGAGCAGCGGGCGAGGACGCCGCGTTGGGCTCGAGCGTCTAGCTGCGGCCGCGTCATGGCGCGCCTCCTCCGGGCGCTCTGCGGCCTCCGCTTCCGGGAGACGCCTCTGCGGGTTGTGCGAAGCCGTGCGGGTACCGGTGGCCTTGGCGCGAGGCACAAACCTAGGGAAGCAGGTAGGACGCGGAACCTCTCGCCCGGGAGACCCCGCCTCTCTCCTGCTTTAGGTTTCACGTCATTTGCTGTGACTTGTAAGGAGACCTGGTGGCGCATTGGTTAACCACTCGCCTGCCAACTGAAAGGTCAGCAGTTCGAACCCACTCGCGACCCTGCGAGAGAAAGATGTGGCAGTCTGCTTCTGTAAAGATTACAGCCTTGGAAACCTTGGGCGGGGGCGGGGGGAGCAATTCTGCTCTTTCCGCTCCGGTCCCTGTGAGTTGAAATCAACTGGACCGCAACGGGTTAACAGGTTTGCTGTGACTTGGCGGGGCGAGTGCTCCTTCTAGACCAGGCGCTTCCTTTCTCCTGAAAATTCTAACTGCCTCTGACTTCATCGTTGCCGCCTAAGACCGTGATTCCTAAACTTGGGAGAGAGTCACTGACCCCTGTGAGAATCTGATAAAAGGTATAGATCTTCCCAAACATGCACAGAAATTTTATTTTTCCAAAAATGCCTGTCTCAGGAGGCCTTGAAGCTTATCCAGGGACTCCAGGTGCAGAACCGCAGTTGTAGGTCTAACAACCCCGATGTCGCACGCTCTCTCCTGTTAATAACCCATTGCCATGGAGTGTATTACGACTCATAGCGACCCTATAGGACAGAGTAGAACAACTTGCCCCCATAGGGTTTCCAAGGCTGTAATCTTTACGGAAGCCGACTGCCACATCTTTCTCCCTCGGAGCCGCTAGTGGGTTGGAACTGCTGAGCTTTCAGTTAGGAACGTAGCGCTTAAGCACTGCGCCACCAGGGCTCCTTTCTCCTGTCATAGCCCTTGTCTTTTACACTGTACCCCTCTTCGTAGTTCTGCGTCCTTCCATTTTTCACGTATGAGAAGCAGGTAATTCAGAATTTGGACTCCTGTGGATTAGTTTCCTGCCCTGGGAGACATACAGGCTAATAATTTGTTCCCCCTTTAAACTGATAATCATTATTTGTTAAACAGTTTGGTGGTGGCTATGAGACAGACCAGAGAAAGTGTGTGTGTGTGTGTGTGTGTGTGTGTGTGTGTGTGTGTGTGTGTGAGAGAGAGAGAGAGAGACAGAGACAGAGAGAGAGAGAGAGAGACAGACAGAGAGAGAGAGACAGAGAGAGAGAGACAGAGAGAGAGAGAGAGAGAGAGCGGGCATGGGCATGGTATTTTAGATATTATTTCAGGTAGTTTTAGTGTCCCTTTGGATTGGCTTCCTGGGCAGCTGTCCAGCTGGCCCACCTCTACGTTCAATTCTGTATGTGCCCATTGAAGACATTTAGAGATTAACTCCCCGGATTTTTTTAAAAAGTAGTGTTAAGTAAATAAGTAAATAAAAACACTGGTATGTGGAGTTGTAGCTGATGTAGCATGACCTTCTCTCATGGGCTCTGTCATGGATTGAATTATGCCCCTCAAAAAATGTGTGTATTGTTTGGCTGGGCCATGATTCCCACTATTATGTGGTTGTCTTCCATTTTGTGACTGTAATTTTATGTTAAAGAGGATTAGGGTGGGCTTGTAACACGCTTAGTAAGGTCACATCCCTGGTCCAATGTAAAGGTGAGTTTCCCTGGGGTGTGGCCTTTTATCTTACAAGAGATAAAAGGAAAGGGAAGCAAGCAGAGAGTTGGGGACCTCATACCACCAAGAAAGCAGTGCTTGGAGGAGAGCTTGTCCTTCGGACCCGAGGTCCTTGCGTGGAGAAGCTCCTAGTCCGCGAAGGAGATTGATGAGAAGGCTGACAGAAAGAGAAAGCCTTCCCTTGAGGCTGACACCCTGAATTTGGACTTTTAGCCTGCTTTCTGTGAGGAAATAAACTTCTCTTTGTTAAAGCCATCCGCTTGTGGTATTTCAGTTATAGCAGCACTAGATGACCAAGACAGCCTCATAATCCTTTAGTGTCTCTGATGAGCCAGTTAGATGCCATTTGTTGGGAACCTGCTATGTACTAAGCATTGTCCTGCTGAGATCACAGGTGATAGAAACATTACATTTGTGGGCTGGAGCTCTCCACATCCCCATTTATATAGGATAGTGGTTTTAGTGGAAACACCTCCTTCCTGTGTGTACTTAATGCTGTCAGAAGCAGCCTAATGAATTGCTCTGAGATCTGAAGTTCTTCAGCAACATTAAAATTTGGCCAGACGCCAATACATAACGTATAATTTAGCAGACTCCCCTCACTCCCCAGAATTTATTCAAAGGAAATAATTTAAAAGAAGAACAAAGCTGGATGCAAAGATGTTTTTAACAGCACTACTTTTAAGACTCATCGGAATCGACTCAATGGCAGTGGGTTTGGTTTTTTGGTTTACTTTTAAGAACTGGAAACTAGCTGTAACCCAAATGTCCATAAATTAAGGAATGCTTAAGTAAACCATGATAGCCCAATACAACAAACTGTTAGGCATTTATTAAAAAAATGATAAACATGTTCTGTGGTTAAGGGCTTCAGTGACCGACAGACTCAAATCTGAGTCTTGGCTCTGTCACTTACTAGATATATGTCTTTGGGCAAGTTTCTTAAGCTTGATAAGCTTGAATTTCAGGGTTTTTTTTCTTTATAAAATAAGAATACGGAATGAAAAAAAAAAAAACCCACAATGCATTTAAAGAAAATGCTTTAGTAAGAACTTAGTTAAGTACTCAATAAAATATTAGTTATAATTGCATCAATAAATGGAAAAAAACAAAAGTATAGTGACATTTAACCTACATTGTAGACTTGGAAAGGATTAAGAAAGAGAAATTAGGTGGAAATGAGGTGTCAAATGTGATAAAGGACTGTTCTCCAGTGGTAAGATTTCTGATATGCTTAGAGGCAAGGCCCCTGTGATTTTGTCATCCAGACTGACAAAGAACAAGTTGAAAGAGGGAAGTAAGAAGTGTCCTGGAGCAAACAATCTGTCGTTTCAGAAAATGTTCTTTCTAGAAATAATCTGCCAGGAAACTATCCAAGTAAGTGGTTAAAATAGTGCAGACACTGTGGGTGGCAGAGTAGACTAGTTCTGCAGGTTAGAATGGGCTGGGAATCTTTTGTACCAGTTCCTAATAGGTTCCATAGGTTCAACAAATATTTATTGAAATATAGCTGGCTCATCTGTGGCAGCCTGGCAATATAGCAGCTGTAGCCAGAATGGTTAGCAAAACCAGAAGGAGGTTTGCTGGCAATCCTTGGCCTTCCTTGGCTTGTGGGTGACCATATGACCAAGAGTGGGTTTCCTTAGAAATGAGACTGTCAAGGCCCATCTCATGGAACATCTGACCAATGAGAAAGTATAGCCTGTGCAAATCACAACATGCAGAGAAAGGAACACAAAGGAATGAGTTTATCAAAGCATAATTCAGGGTAAAGCTGTGTAGCTATCTAGTACAGTAATAGCAGCAGCTCAGCTTATTGGCTTTTAAATAACATCTTAATGCTGATGAGTCCCAAATTTACATATCCAGCTTGAACCTCTTCTCCTAACTAAATTCATATACAGCTGCCTACTTGATATCTCCATTTGGATATCTAATTGGCATTGCCATATTTAACACAGCCAAATCCAAGCTCCCAAACCTGCTCCTCGTGTACTCTTCCCCATCTTCCAGTACTTAGATAAAAAAAGCATTCAGTAATGACCCGTGACCTTGACCCTCGACCCTTTCCTTTCTCTCATACCCCACATCTGATGCATCAGCAAATCTTCCAACTCTACCATCAGAATGTATCTAGCGTCTGACCCCTCCAAGCACCTCTGCCACTACCATCTGGATCCGGGTGTCTGCCGTCTCCGGGGCAGACGATTAAAGAAGCCTTCTGACTTGTTTCCCTGCTTCAGCCTTTGCTTCAGTTTACTTTTAGTACATCAGCCTGTTAGATATGTTAGATCATGTCACGCTTCTGCTATAAACCCTCCGATGACTTCCTGACTCACTCAAAATAAAAGCCAAATTAAATTATCTGGCTCCCCATTACCTTTCCGATAGCACTTCTAACATTCCTCTTGCTCACTCCACCCCTCTCTCTGTGGCCTCCTTGCTGTTCCTCATACGTGCCAGGCACACTCCCACCTGCTTTTCCTCTTGCCTACAGTGCTCTTCACTAGATTTTCACGTGGCGTATTTGCTCATTTCCTTCAAATCTTTCCTGAAATGTCACCTTTTTAGTAAGGCCATTCCTGACTTCTGTGTTTGGAATTGGGTGTGTGTACATGCATACACACATAAATACACACAAACATACACATCGTGGCACTCTCTAATCCCCTTCATGGCTTTTTAAAATTCACCTTGTAAAATTCTATAGCATTTTTTTAAGTTTGTTTACTATACGTCTGCTTCATAAGGGCATTGATCCTTGCCTATTTTCTTTACTGGTGTATCCCCAGAATCTAGAGTAGTGGTAGAGATGGAAGCTAATGTTTTGAAAAATGACTGAGAGAAGTGAGGAAATATAGACAGCCTTTTTAAGGGGTTTGGTTGTGAAAGAGAAAAAAAAAAAAAAGGATAGTATCTGGTGGGGAGAGAGGAACTGGGTGAGGAAAATAAGGCTTGTGTTACTTTTCTCACCACAAGAGACTCGCATATCTAGATGCAGGTGGCAAGGGGCCAATAGAGTGGGAGAAGTTGATAGTTCAGGTGGAAAGGGGGATCCTGGTCCTACAGAGGCGAAAGGAAATGGGATTGGGAACAGTGATGACTAGAAAACACATGGACAGGAGGAGGGGTCACTTGTTCTACAGAAACAAGATAGAAGAAGGAAAGGATGGGTGTGGATGCAAGTAATTCTGAAGGTGTGGTAGCAGGAAATTGAGGGAGTTCCTTTGTGGTGGCTTTTGATTTCTCAAAAGTGAAATCTGCTGTTGAGAATAAGAGGCAAAGTGGTAGAGAACATGGTTTAAGATACATAGAAAAGATTTAAAATATCTGTATTTATTTTCTAGGAATGCTGTAATACAGTGCCACAAACTAAGTAGCTGAAACTACAGAAATGTATTCTCTCACAGTTTTGGAGGCTAGTAGTCTGAAGTCAAGGTATTGGCAGGCCATGCTGTTTCTGAAGACTGTAGGGGAGCACCTGTCCCATGCCTTTCTCTTCACTGCTAGTGTTGCTGGCAATCCTTGGCCTTCCTTGGCTTGTAGACTCATCACTCCAATCCCTACCTGCATTGTCACCATCACATGGTATTCTCCCTGTGTGTTTATCTGTCTCTGTGCCTATTCTCTTCTTCTGAGGACACCAGCCATTGGATTTAGGGCCCATGCTACTCCAGTATGACCTCATCTTAACGAATCACATCTGCAAAGACCCTAGTTCCAAATAGGGTCGCATTCTGAAGTTCCGGGAATGACATGAATTTTGAGAGGACACTATTTAACCCAGTACAATACTGATTATGGAGAAGTGGAGAGAGAGTGAACTAAGGAACTATATAATAATTGCCATGGTTTATTGAGACACCAGTGAAATTGGTGATTTGAATTTATAGGGACAACTATCTTTCCAGTTGGACTTTCTCCACTAGTGCTTAACAGTACAGGTGTAGGCATGGATAAGGTAATTTTTTAAAATAAACTTTTTTTTATTGTGGAATGACTTTAAATTTACAGAAAAATTGCAAAGACCATAAAGGTAATTCTTGTATCCCATTAACTTCTTACGTTATCCTGGTATATTTGTCAAAACTAAGAAACTGACTTTGGTACATTACTATTAACCAAACTCTAAACTTTACTTGGGTTTCACCAGTTTTTCCATCAATGCCCTTCATCTATTCCAGGATGCATTCCAGGTTCCACATTGCATTTAATCTGGTATATGACAACAGTTTCACAGTCTTCCTTGTTTTCATGGTCTTGACAGTTTTGAGGAGTACTGGTTTCAAATTATCCAGTACTGATCAAAACTTGTCCCTCAGTTTGGATTTGTCTGTTTTTTCTCTTGATTAGACTGGGATTATGGGCGTGGGGAAAGAGTAACACACAAGTAATGTTTCCTTCTAGATTCATGTACCCTTCCACCATCTCTCTCCCACCTTTGATACACACACACACACACACACACACACACACGCACTTGCTTATGTATTCATTTATTTGCTGAACCGTTTGAGAGCTAGTTGTAGACATCATGCCACTTTACCCTTAAATAATCCAAAACCACACCAAACCTGTTGCCGTCGAGTTGATTCCAACTCATAGTGATCCTGTAGAACAGAGTAGAACTGCCCCATAGAATTTCCAAAGAGTGGCTGGTGGATTCGAACTGCTGACCTTTTGGTTGACAGCTGTAGCTCTCTGTAGCTCTTAACCACTGCGCCATATCTCCTAAGACCAAAGACATTCTGCTACAAAAACACAAAACAATTATCATACTCAGGAAGTTTAATACCAAGATAATACTATTGTTGAATATTTGTCCATATTAAAATTTCCCCAATATCCCAATATTATAGATTGAATTGTGTCCCCAAAAAACATATGTTGAAATCCTAACCCCTGTACCTGTGAATGTGATCCTGTTTGGAAATAAGGGGTTTTCTTTTATTATGCTAATATGGTCATCCAGGAATAGGGTGGGTCCTAAACCTAATCCCTTCTAAGTGGTATCTTACATAAAGGTAAAATAGACAGGAGCTCCACACACAGGGAACAACGCCACAGGTGCATCCGTAGGCAGCAAAGGAATGCCAAGGATTGCTGGCAGTCACCAGAAACTAGGAGAGAGGCCCACAGAAGGAATCAACCCATCCGAGTACTTGATTAGGGCATTTAACCTCCAGAACTGTGACAAAATAACTTCCTGTTCTTTAAGTCCACCCACTTTAACAGTATTTTTTGTTGTAGCAGCAGTAGGTAACTAAAACACCCAATGAAGTCTTCTTTACCTGTTTTTTTTTTTTTTGGATCCAGAGTCCAACAAAGGGTCACGTGTTGCATTTAGTTGTGTGTTTCTCTAATTTATTTTACTCTAGAACAGTTGAGCAGGCTTTTTATTTTTTTCATGACATTGACCTTTTTTTAACGATCAAGGGTATTGTTTTGCAGAATTCCCCTCAGTTTGGGTTTGTCTGATTGTTTCTTCATGATTAGATTCAGGTTAAACATTTTTAGCAGGAGAACTATGTGGGTGATGTTGTGTCTCCTCAGTGCATCTTATTAGGAGGCCCATGAGGTCAGCTTGTCCCACTACTGGTGATGCTGACTTTGCTCACTTAAGGTGATGACTTCCAGATTTCTCCATTGTAAAGGTACCTATCCCTCTTTGTAATTAATAATCTGTGGGGTGATATTTTGAAAATGTGTGACTATTCTTTTCCCTAACAGTTTTTCACACAGGGCTTTTAGAATCCCCTGATGATTCTTGCTTGAATCACTTATTATTTTGGTGGTTTTTAAATGGTTCTTTTAAAGAGTTGTATCATTTCTTCTCCATTTATTACTTGGCATTCTTCATGACAACTCTGAAAGCCACTGAGCAGGAATAATTGTCACATAAATTTTGCTTTGCTCCCCAAGAGATGGGTTCCTGAGAAATTGCATGTAACTGAGGTCACATTTTCTGGGTTCAACTTCAGAGGTATGCTTCTGTAGGAAAAAAAATTCTTATAGCCTTGTTGTTGTTGTTGTTAGGTGCCATGAAGTCGATTCCGACTGATAGAAACCTATGTATAACAGAACAAAATGCTGGCTGGTCCTACACCATCCTCACAATCGTTGCTATGTTTGAGCCCATTTTTGCAGCCACTGTGTCAGTCCATCTCGTTGAGGGCTTCCTCTTCTTTACTGACCCTCTACTTTACCAAACATGATGTCCTTCTCCAGGAATTGGTCCCTCCTGATAACATGTCCAAAGTAAATGAGATGAATTTTCACCATCCTCGCTTCTAAAGAGCACTCTGGCTGTACTTCTTCCAAGACAGATTTGTTCATTCTTCTGCTATAGCTGTATAAAAAGTATATTTAAGAAAGGAACAACTTCTAATATATTTAACAGATAAAAGGAGCCCTGGTGGCACAGCGGTTAAGTGCTCGGCTGCTAACTGAAAGGTCATTGGCTCGAACCCACCTGCTGCTCCGTGGGAGAAAGATGTGGCAGTCTGCTTCCATAAAGATTTACAGCCTTAGAAACCCAATGGGGAAGTTCTACTCTGTTCTGTAGGGTCGCTAGGAGTCAGAATTGACTTCATGCCAATGGGTTTGGTTTCGGTTTAATAGATAAAAACCTTTTGATAAAATGTAAACAATAATCAATCAATAATATATATACTGAAATACCATATTGTGTAATATTATGAGCTTGTGATAAAGATAAGTTTTTTCTTGCTGAAGGATTATTTAGGAACTTTTTTTTTAAAATCATAAACGAATTTCAGATATAATTTCCTGACATGCTCGATCTGTAGGTGGTGACATCACAAGTGTTTAGCATTTCATCTTCAATGCTATGAGCAAGTTACCCCTTGGGCCTCTGTTCTGTCATTTGTAAGTTTAAGAGTTGGATGGATTACAAGATTATTTCAAATTCTTAATGCTGGATAATTTAAAACGTTTATTATATAAGCAGGAGCCCTGGTGGTGCAATGGTTAGGCCCTCAGCTGCTAACCAAAAGATTGGCAGTTTGAACCCACCCACCCGCTCCGTAGGAGAAAAGACCTGGTGATCTCCTCCTGTAAAGATTACCGCCTAGGAAACCCTATGGGCAGTTCTGTTATGCCACATAGGGTTGCTATGAGTCAGAATTGACGACGCACAAGAACAACAGCAAATCATCACACAGGAGTCTGGGTGGCACAAGCAGTTTGCAGTCAGAGCCACCCAGTGGCGCCGTGGGAGGAAGACTTGGCGATCTGCCCCCGGAAAGATAGAAAACCCTGTGGGCAGTTCTACTCTGTCACGTGGGGTCGTTATGAGTTGACAATTGACTGGATAGCACCTGACAACAACAACATTGTATAAGCTGGGCTTCCTACTCCCCTTTTGTTTTTACTCACTGGAGTAAAAGTGGTAAGATAGAAACCAGAGGCAGCAGAAGAAAGGAAACAAAGTAAGGACAAAAAATGCAAAATGGTAGCTTGTGGTCAGTCGCAGTTTCCCTTTCAGGTGTAAGCTATAGTAGCCTCTTCCTTTTTTCACACAAGAGGATTTTTAATAAAGACCTCCTATGAGTCAGAATTGACTCCACGGCAACAGGTTTGGTTTGGTTTTTGGTTATGACAAACAAAAGCAGAGCTGTCTTTATAAACCACCAAAGGAGAGGAGTTTAATAAACCACTAGCTCAACAATCTTTTTCTGTCAAATCACTCAACTACTCCCAGCTGTATCCTGACAGGAAGGCTCCTTTGAAACTAGTGATAGAAGAGAGGATCAATTTCTACCCTTAGGTACCTGAGGAGAATTTATTTTGCATTATTTCATATTTCAGCTGCCTCTTAAGCTTCAGTGCCCCCAGAAGAACTAGAATACTGGCCGCCTACTTATTACTAATTTCTTATTAAATAATGAGTCTATTAAGGCATTTTGTACCTGAGCTTTCTGGTCCCTGAAAAGATGAAAGAGCAGGAGAGAGTAGGGTAAGGACTGGCTTATTCGACTGGGTGACTGAAGTTTAGGAGAAAGGCCAGGGAAGAAAAATTCGTTGTGCCTTTGTGGTTTAGTAAAAAATTCCTGTTTAACAATACAGGGTCTCTGACAAAGTGTGAGCCATCTCTTGCCAAGAGTGACTGGCAAAGGAAACTGACCACAGAGCAATTCTACGTTACGAGAGAAAAAGGAACTGAACCGGTAAGGTAAGCTGATTCACAATTTTCTGATGAGGTGTATGGGGGTGAGGGGGAATTTGAATTAGATCATCTACCAAACCTAACTCATCCTCACCTACTCTACACATCTGGTCTCAGGGCATCAATATCCTTCCACTTGTAGAAACCAGAAACTTTCCCTGGACACATCCCTCTCTGCCCTCCATCACCTTGTCCTGTCTATTCTGCCTTCTAAATAACCTTCAAATCCCTCTTCTTTTCTGCATTGCTCCTGACTCCACACTAGTCCAGGTTACCATCATCTCTCACTTGTCTGACTGCAGTCACTTCTTCACCGTTCTACTCGCAAACCATTCTCCACATGGCCACCAAAGAGGTCTTTTGAAAACACAAATCTGACCACATCGCTCCCTTCTCAAAATCTTTCAGTGACTTCCCACTGCTTTAAAGATGAAGAGAAACATTAAAATGGCTAGTAAGGCCCTGTGTTGTCTACACCCCCAACCTCAAATCCAGCCAGTCTTCCTACTGATCTCAGCGCTTTAAGCCACACTGTCCTTTCTGCTCTCAAATACTCTGGGTTCCCTTCTGTCTTCAGGCCCTTCCTTCTCTCCAATCAGCCCTGCCTCTAATTAATTCATAGCTACCTTTTAGCTCACTTGAGCCCAAATCACACTTTCTCAGGGAAGTCTTTTCCCACCCTCAAGCGAGATTTGCTTTTACTAGTACTTTTCCTTCATAGCTCCCTAGCACCTAACACAGTGCCTGGCTCTAGTAGGCTCTCATAATGTTTGTGAATGTTAAATGACTATAGGCTCAGAAGTAAAAACTTATCTAAGCTGCATTCAACAGTCTCCACTTCCATTCATTTCCTGAGAGAGCAGCCCTCTGTGGTTCCTCATTATGATACCATTTTTTTACAGCACTGTGTTTCTTAACAAGTGGTCCATCTTAGACCCAAATATATCCACTGGAATTTAGCTATTGAACTTTATTATGAGATCTTTTCAGTTGTGAAGCAGGCCTCACAGAGTGAACCACAGCACAGTGGTTTCACAAGATTGCAGTATCTTTATACTTTATCAGCACCTGCAGAATCCATGTAGCTATCCATGTGCACGTAGACTTATAATCATGGTCTTATCCTCACCTTCTCCGATGCTAAAGTAATCAGAAAAGGCCAGCAGGTCCCAGTAGGTTCTCATGAAATACTGGTATTTTTTGAAACTTTCTGTGAGTACCATTTTAATTAAGCCTGTTCTGGGAAAGGGACTGCATTAGCCATTATTTTAGATGCACAAGGGAGTCACACTAATGGTACTGTGTGTGCAGTTGTGCATGTTCCCAGAATATCCTAAGCCAGCCCTAGTTCTGAGGTACAGAGCCAGTCAGGGTTTGGTATATATACAGAGCCCAGAGATGAGCTGCCAGATGTTTGGGAGAATCTTAAACAGATGGTGCAATATACTCTGTACATTTGGCCATTTTACAAAATGAGCATCATCCATTATTTTAACTAATATTATAAATCCCTTGCAGTTGATCCATTCCCACATTTAACTTTCAGAGTATTGCAGAACTGTAAGCCTTAGTTAGCATCATTAGGCCTAGGAAAGAGAAGTAAAATAGCCAAGCTTTCTATTTGATGACTCAAAATTAAAATTCAGTTACACATGTTTTTGTTGGGCAACAGTAATATACTAATACTCTGCTAGGTATTGGGAAAACAGTAAAGAAATATTAACAAATTCTTACCATGAAGGAATTCACAGCCTGGCTGAGCAATAACTAAAAGTCAAGTATCAGTAGACAGTAGGTATGGCGCAGGTCCTTCCTGTCTACCTTCCAGATCCACGCTTCACATGCTTTACCCTGCTCTGAGCTACAGGAGTAGTAACCAGGCTCCTTCGCCCTCTGGCTATTGATTGAGTTCTGTGAGTGGGAGATGTCAACGAGATCAGAGGGCAGGATAGAGAAGTTGGATCCAGGGTCCTCTCTCTGGGCTAAAGGTTGGCAGTGGCTGTGTTCCTCTACTGCAGGATGCACTCCTGCCAGGCAGCTCTCACCTACAGCTGCAGCCTCCCCAGGTTTTGGAAACTGCCCTCTCTACTGTCCCACAGGCCTAGTAGGAGTAGTAGTGTGCCCTCACGGTCACTAAACCAAGGGTGCTTCACCATCCCTTATTGCTTTTTGTGGGCCCTGCCCCCACCATTGTAGATAGTCCTGCATCAGATCATCTGCATTCATCCGTTTTCAGTGTGTCATCTGTTTCCAACAAGTGTGCTGTACTGACAAGATCAAAGAAGGGAGAATTCCCTTTGATTCAGATAAACCTGGAAAACCCAAGGGGTATCGCAGACGTCATTCTGTCGCTGACCCTGTTCTCTCCCTGTACAGCCAGCCACTTCAGTTCTCCCTTCTAAATAATTCTTGAATTGATTCTCTTCTTATTTCCACTGCTCCTGCCCCAGCTAAATCTGTGCATTCACGGCCTTATGAGGATTCTTTGACTCCAGTGTCTTCTTGCCCCTGCTCTAATCTGTTCTTCTCATGGATGCCAAGTGATCTTTCTAAAAATTAACTCTGATTATGTGCACACCTAGTTTAAGATTTTGCAAAGGCTTCTCATTTTCAGTAGGATAGAATTTAAATTACTTTTAAAAAGCAAAGATGTCACTTTGATGCTTGAGGTGCACCTGACCCAAGCCATGGTCTTTTTAGTTTCCTCGTATGCATGTGAAAGCTGGACAATGAAAAAGGAAGACTGAAGAGAAACTAACTCATTTCAATTGTGGTGTTAGCGAAGAATATTGAATATACCATGGACTGCCAGAAGAATGAACAAATCAGTCTTAGAAGAAATATAACCAGAATGCTTTTTAGAAGCAAGGATGGCAAGACTTCGGCTCACTTACTTTGGATACATCATCAGGAAAGACTAATAGCTAGAAAAGGGTATCATGATTGGTAAATAGAGGGAAATGAGGGAAACCCTTAATGAGATTAATTGACACAATAGCCACAACAATGGACTGAAACACACCAACGATCGTGAAGATGGCACAGGACCAGGCAGTGTTTTGTTCTGTTGTGCGTAAGGTCGCCATGAGTCAGGGCCAACTTGACAGCACTAATAATAGCAGCCATCAAAGCCTAGCGTTATCTAGCCCCTTCCTGCCTTTCCAATCGCATCTTTCCCCATTCTCCCCCTTGCATTGTCACGTGGGCCTTGCCCAAGCCACTCTGCCTTTCTGAAATACTTTTCCATTTCTTCATCTGATTAACTCTTACTCATTCTTCAAGAGTGTTTACCGTTTCGTCATTTTTTTATAATAAACATCAATTACTTGGGCAATTAAAAAAATTAATAATATTAAAAGGTAAAAAACAAACAAAAAACCCTGATCTCAGACACTGCCTGGTGCAGAAAGCCTTCATGAGATCCCCTTAGTAGTGAAGGGTACTGGTGCTACCCAAACTCTATGCTGATCTCTCTATCATAGCTATTATCACACTGTATTGTAACTGTCCCTGGGTGGTGCAGTTAACAAGCTCGTATGCTAACCAAAAGGTTAGAGATTTGAGTCTAGCCACAGGTGTCTCAGCAGAAAGCCCTGGCGATCTGCTGCCAAAAAATCAGCCATTTAAAAGCCTATGGAGTACAGTTCTACTCCAACGCACATGGGGTCACCGTGAATCAGAATGGATTTGACAACAAATTTTTTATATTATTATAAATGTCAGCTCACTTGTCTTTTCCCAACTAGGTAGCAAAGTCTTTGAGTGCAGAAACTGTGATTTTGTTTTTTTCATATCTTCAACACTAGCACTCTGTCTGGTATATAGTAGGTTTTCAAGTAAATACTGAAATGAATGAATGAGGTAGAAGTTTAATTTAGCCCTGAATAAGTAATAGGACTTGTCTAAAATTGGGAGGCATTAGGAAGTCAGGCAAGGAGGCAGGGGATAGAGGCCATTTCATAGAATATGTTGGCTAGGGATTACTTTTCATTTGAATGTTTCTTTTTTACTTACTGTGATACCAGTTCCCTGTCACTTCCTTTGCCCAACTGTCCCCTGTAATGACAAAATGATATTTTGAATTTTATCAGACTCTCTAGATCCTATGAATGGGCTTTTCTAGATCTTCATTACAGAACTTCCTCTTTGTTACAGATGCCAATAAATGCCAGTGTGGGAGCAGGCACTCAAGGGGGACAGGCCATGAAGACACCAGCTGACTACTGTTCAGATTTCTGCAGCTAAGTTCAGGGTTTTTAAAGAGGGAAGAAATCCAAGTGTGCCCAGATGGTAGGCTCACTAGGTTAATTTGAAATTGTCCAGTATGCAACACACTGAAAATGTGCTGTTAATACTACCACAGAGAATTTGTATGTCTGACCTGGAGAGGGCAAAAGATTCTAGCTTCTTTCCTGAGTCAGCATGGTGACTTGGTGAGCCACTCCATGCTTTGGCTTCTCTTCCATCCCATAAGATGGGATAATGCTTACCACCAGACACTGTGGTAATAGATCATCATAGTTAGCCTGTGCAAGGTTTTGTTTTGTTTTTTTTCTTTAACAGGAGATGGTGAAAGTAAGTGGGCAACAATGGGATATATATATAAATATAATATATATTTTGGTACATCAAATAACATTAAAAAATGACTTGGTTCACTCATTGTCTCATGGCTCCTTTTGTTCCTCTTGGAAGACCTTTGAAAACCTGCAAACTCTTTAAGCCATAGTTAACATAGTAACTTCATCTAAGAAGTCATTTAGGCACTGGGAGAATCTAGCTTATTATTTAACATTTATTAAGTGTCTACGGTCTGAAATACTGCATGAAGCATATTAAAGACACAGCACCTGATCTCACTGATCTGTGCTTTTTATGTATTTACATTCTGTCTTTAATTGGAGATTTCAGAGTGTTTTAAACAGTGGACTAGATTCCTATTGAATGAACTCTTTTGGAACGGAGACCAAAACTTCACACAATCACTGAGGACGAAACTCTGTTCTCTTGGGCACTTTGATGTTCTTGGATGAAAGGTGCTATATAAATACAAAGCATTATTAATGTCATAATTTGAATATTTGGCACAGTAAAGAGCAGGTTGTAAATAAGCCTGCTGGCTGCTTCATTGGGTACAATATAATTTACTCTCTGGTGATATTTGCATTTTGTCAAATTAGTACAGTGATTCCTTGATTTGGGGACTTATCTATCATCTCTGCTGCTGAAAAACCTGAACATGGTGTGTCTCATTTACTTCCAGCCTTTCAGTGGGATCTACCTGAATACCAAGGAGGCAGGGATGTAGCACTGTGTGAGCTGTGATAGTCCACTCTTCAGGTGAGTTAAAGAATAAAGAGACGGTAAAGAGCAGAGATGACCCCATCTCATTTGAGGCCTTGGGAAAATAAATGCCTTCTTATTTGGCATTGTTGCTGTCAGGAGAGGTATTCATATAAGATACTTCCCTGTTTTGATTGTTTCTAGCATTTAGAGCTGTTAACAAGACTTCTTAGCCTATATTCTTCCCCATGTATCCCTGAGAAATAACAAAAACAAGAAAAGCTTCGTGGGCACCTTAAGATAAAGCTATTAGAATTTTTTAGAGGGGAAGTATTCAAAGAAATCTAAACTATAATCACATTTGCTTGACCATGTGATTAAAACTATATCTCTCCCAGGGAAAATGGGTTTATAACTTAATTTAGGAAATGTGGAATTTCATGAGGATAAATTCCCCACAATACTTGACAGAAGTGAATGCCATGCCTTCTTCTATATAGCTAAAAGTAAATTTAATTGTCCCTTGATTTCAAAGCCTCTTTTAAGTCATTCAGGATCTGAAATCTCTCAACAAAGGCATTTTTGTTTAGACATGCAGGAAACAGTCTAAAAAAAGATTCAATGAAGGAAAAAGGAAAACATCTTTGAAGGCCTGTTTTTCAGAACTTCAAAGATGTTTTCCTTTCTTGTGCATCTACCCTAAATTGGTTTAGAATAAAATATAAATCAAGCCAGCTCTGTGAATCTTCCATTAGGCGGTACTTCATTACGTCCTTTGGGCTTTGAGCAGACTGGGCTTTCCTGGCCGGCCACTAATGTAGGCTGCATTAGCAAAGCCAGACCCCCGCCTTCAAGGATGGAGAGCAATTAGGATTGATTTTCCTTCCTGCTCACTGAAGGGCAGGCCTTTGCCAGATTCACTGCTGTCAGTGGCCGGTGTGGAGATATCTGAGATGGCAGTCAGCCCAGGATGGCGTGGCGTGAACTCGGAGAAGTAGGTTCATTGTTACACAGTAAAATGTGCAAATAGTATTTTTGGGACCTTAGTAATTCCTTGACCTTTAGTTCTGTTAAAGAGGAGAAGTAGGACTTTGGGATGGTCAGCCTGCTTTCAGCCAAAGAACTGTATTGTAAAAGTATAAAAGACGGGCTTGTTACTATATATTCATCACACAAAACTTCTGTCTTTGGACTGTGAAGACAAAAGATGAGAAGTCATCCTTGTAAGAGGGCTCTCTGAGGTTTTATTCTTTACTTTTTTTTCCTTCACTGGTATCTCAGTTTCTGCTTCTCTAAAGATAAGGCCTTCTTCTTACTACTCAATCTCATTCTCTCTCTAACACCCAGGTTCATTCACAGAATCATAGGACGTTAGAGCAAGAAGGGACCCCAGAGACCAGAGGAGAAAGGTCTGTCCAGTAGAATTCTCTGATGGAAATATTCTACATCTGCACTGTTCGGTACAGTAGCCACTAATCCCATTTGACTGTTGAGCACTTGAAATATGACTAGTGCAACTAAGGAGCTGAAATTTTTATTTTATTTAATTTTAATTAATTGAAACTTAAAAGGCTACATGTGGCTAGTGGCTACTGTATTATCACAGTGATTAAGAGCTACGGCTGCTAACCAAAAGGTCAGCAGTTCGAATCCACCAGCCACTCCTTGGAAACCCTATGGGGCAGTTCTCCTCTGTCCTGTAGTGTCGCCATGAGTCGGAATCAGCTCAACGGCAATGGGATGGGAGTCCAAATTAAGGAAATCGAATGACCAACCCCAAGTCATTGAGGTGATTAAGCAGACAGGACTAATAGGAAAACCAGCCGATTCTCCAGAAGCCTGTTTACCAAGTGACCAGTTTGCTTGATTGCCAGTTCACCTATATTGTTTCCTTTTAACTATTTAGTTTTAGTTGAAAAGTTTCCATCTCATTTTCTTAAGGACTTTTGAGTTTGTTTCTGTCTCAGCATCCTACTGCAGCTGGGACTGGGAGAAATAAGAATTTATTCATAAGAGTCATTTATGTCCCAGAATATAATTTCCCTAAAGACGTATGGCAGTTGGTAGAGGCTGTGGTGCCTGGGTGTACATCCTGGCTCCAGTGCTGTGACCTTGGGCGAATTTCTTAACCTCTTTGTGCCTTGGTTTCCCCACTTATAAAATTAGGATAATAATTGTACCTGATTAATAGGGTTGATGGGAGGTAAAGTGAGCTATGAGTTAATCCATGTGAAAGCACCAGAGCAATGCCTGACATACCAACCACCCAATATTGTTGTTGCTGGCTGCCATCAAGTCAATTTTGACTCATAGCGACCCCATGCGACAAAGTAGAATTGTCCTATAGGGTTTTCTAGGTTGTAATCTTTATGGTGAAACCCTAGTGGCATAGTGGTTAAGACCTATGGCTGCTAACCAAAAGGTCAGCAGTTCGAATCTACCAGGCTCTCCTTGGGAACCCTATGGGGCAGTTCGACCCTGTCCTTTAGGGTCGCTATGAGTCAGAATCAACTTGACAGCAACAGGGTTTTTTTGGTTAATCTTTATGGGAGCAGATCTCCAGGTCTTTTTCCTGTGGAGCCACTGGTGGGTTTGAACCACCAACCTTTGGGTTAGCAGCTGAGCACTTAACTGTTATGCCACCAGGGCTCCTTAAGTACTCAATACATGTTAGCAATTATATATTTTTAGAGACTGATTCTTCTTAGGGCTTTATTCATAAATGTATATTTGATAATGAAGAATCCTTGAGAATATGTTCTAATTAATGAGAATATATAAATGAAGAATATGTTCGTGAGGGTCCTTCCCATCGAATAGTCTTAGAACTATATTCTTATTTTACCTTTTAGTCTCTACCCCACTGTCACCCCCATCTCCACCCCAGTTTCCAGCCTCAATAGTAGGGAGCATAGACAAAGAAAAAGGATTTGTGAAATGCTTGTACAAGGTCAAAATGGAGTGAAAAATTGGTCAACTAAACTAAATAGTTAAAGAAACAAGTAAATGCAGGGACCATTCCTCCTTGCTGTCTGCACCTGCTGGGGCTGATTCCTACCTCTAGACTTTACCCTCACACTCTGCCCACCTCCTGGAATTTCCCCCCAGCCCTGTATGCTAATTTGAGTTTCACTTATTCGTCAAGCCCCAATTTCTCCACAAAGCCTTTCTGATAGCACACTCTCTTTTTTCTTTTCCAAATTCCTATGAATTTGTCATCAGTACTACACAATTTAGGACTTAATTGTTCTCCTATTGGCTGGTATATTTTATTTAATTGAAGAGATAAAACATAAGTTTCTTGAGGTCCTGGGCTGTCTTAAACTTCTTGTGCATACCTCACAGAGGTGCTCAGTAAGTACTTCTTGATTGATTGGTGGATAATATCTACTCTACATTCTACAGCAGTAGAAATGTTTGGAATATTAAATGAGGTTAGAGTTATGAAATCATTATATAAATGTAAGATAAGCAGCTACAACTACTTGAGCACTTACTATATGCCAGGCACTGTGCTCAGTGCTTTGCAGTCCCCACACTCCAATGAGGAAGCTATTAATATCCCATTAAATACATGTGGAAACTGCAAGTTAGAGTCTTTTAAGTAACATGCTCAAGGTTACACATCTAGTAATTGACGGTACTGGCAGTCCAGTGCTTGGCCTGTGGGTTATTCTGCTCCTCAGAGAGGGAGGCGCTCCAACCAAGGCGTGCACTTCTGGGCATACACCAGGCACTATGCTCAAGCTCTTAACACACATCATTTCTTTCACTCCTCTCAGCAACTCCATGAGGTGTCGTTATTGTTCTCCTTTCACATGAGGAAACTGAGACTTAGGAAGATTAAATAACTTGCCCAGGGTTCTGCAGTTAAGAAGTTGCCAGACAAAATATGAACCCATGTCTCTTAGACTCCAAAACCCACAGTCTGTAGTCCATGGTTCCGTAAGCCACTTAGGCAGCACTGTATCACTGGGCACCAACCCCATCTGGTGGCAGCTTTCTGAATTATAGATATAACTCCCCAGGGAGACATGAGCAGCCTCAATGGGGATACCCCAGCTGTTTAAACCCACGTTTAAGGACAGCAGCTCTGAGCTCCCTTCCAAAGCCTTGTTCCCAGCCACATCTGCTAGACTTACCATACTCCCCCTTATGATCCTATAGTCATTGGAATGAACATGGTACATATTCTTGGATAGCTGCTGATGCTCTGCATCAGAGAGCGTTAATGGAGGGCTTCCGGGTCAAGAACACTTTTCAGTATGTTAAACTCCCCTAGAGACTCCAGACTGTCGTTAACCTTGGGATTATGTGACACAGCCCCTCCCCTGCTTCCTCTATTCCCCTTCCTTCCCCTTCCCTCTCACCCCATAAGCCAACTCTGAAAGCATTTATTTATTAAAATCTATTGTGGGATATCATATTTCATGGTCACACATCTTCTTGAAATAGAAGGAAACTGAGACCTTAATATTAGTTTGCTGGTTGTATAACATCTTGATGCCCTACATGTCACAAGTAACTAAGTAATGTTGTTTAAAGACCTTGTATGTGCCGCTGGTCCCTGACCCCCAATAAATGGAAATTCCTCTAAGACGTTAGGGGTGTCAGTTATCATCGGGTGCCTTTGCTGTTGATTTGGGGGCTGTTGAATTTCCAGAAATGAAAGCAAAGCAAAGCAAATAAATACATAGCAAAACTCAGCTTAAGAAACACCTCTAAGAGTACATGATTATAATTTGTCTTGGTGACTTTCTTTTGGGATCTCCCTTATGTGGGGTTCAATGAGCATCTTGGATAGATACTTCTAATTTTCTATGATATCAGGGAAGTTTTCTGCCAACAAATCTTCAATAGTTCTGTCTGTATTTTCTGTTATCCCCCACTGTTCTGGTACTCCAGTCTTTTATAGGCTATTCCTCTTGATAGAGTCTCATGCAATTCTTAGGGTTTCTTCATTTTTTTAAATCCTCTTATCTGATTTTTCCTCAGATAAGTTGCTGTCAAGTGCTTCGTCTTCAATCTCACTGTTTCAGACTTCGATTGCCTCCATT